AGCCCCCAATGTTCATAATACACAGAGAAAATATTTAACACTGATTCTATGTATCCTTCAAATCCTTCGGCCACAAAATGTCTCAGATTTGAATGAAACTTTGTGTATTATGGGATATTGGTGTCTGATAGGTAAAAAACTGCAAAGATTTGACCTAGCAACGATTGTCATGGAAACATATTTCAGAACGACCGACAGTGGGAGTAATGGAAAATTGAAAAAAATCTCATAAAAAAAGAGATATATCTAAAAGACAAACACAAAAACAAATTTATCAGTCTTTCTTTAAACTTTTAAAAGCAATAAAACTTATTTACCTAACTCATAAATAATGAATAAATAGTATTTTTCAGACAATTACACTGTTAACAAATGCTATTCTTGAGAGGAAAAAAGTATTTTGCCCAGTAGTGCATCTTGTGTAAACATTTATGTTAGAAAAATAATATAAATATTATCTTAGAATATGGAAACTTTAAATTATGGAGAAATCAAAGATAAATCTGGAATTCGATTCAATTACTTGGGAACTTGGAGGAAAAAAAACAACGACAGAGTTATAGTTCTTGAAGTACTCTTTTGTATTGATGGAAAGAAAAAACGGCCTTCATTTGTTCCAAATTGTCTCAGCAGATCATGCATATGGAACTTAGTTTTCATTCGTTTCATTCTTAAGTTGTTTGTTCTAATGTAGAGACTTTAAGTCCCCTTGCCTCTTTACCATCAACTTTGTGAACCAATATTTAGACAGAATCAGCTTTGATATACACTAAATTTTCAAATTCATGTAAAATTTTCCAAAATCTTTGAGTTGAGCACGTTGAGAGCAGCTGTTGAGAAGAATCGCCTAAGCAGAAAATGGGAATGTTGCGGGCTCCTCAACATTTAGCGTCACACCAATAAAAAAATTAAAAAAGAACGGGGAAACAAGGAGAAGTGAGACACATAACAATCCATCAGGTGGAAGGCATCAATAGAAACTATGGTGGGTATGGGACAATTCTTCCTGTTGGAACACGTAACTTAAAAGTAATATACATGTTCTATATGGCTGTATACATGGTATAAGCCATATGTTTCAATGAATAATATTCAGTAGAAAAAGAATACAAAAACAAAAACTACTATTACAGTAAATAACAGCTACACAAAATTGACTTATTATGCAAATAATGCATTTTAATTAAGTTGACGATATTGCAATACATATCGCAATACAGTTATAAATGTTGCAATATATCCAAATCGCAATATGAAATCTCTGGCCAATACCAAGCCTTACAATTTGGTCAAATCAAAACGTACTAAAACTAAAAGTAGACACAGACTACAGACTAGAAAGCTTCTTATTGAAAATATATTATCATAAAGTCAAAATAATCATGAATGAAAGGACTGATAACTGGAAATCACATTTACATGTAATTAATAAACTGTTATAAAATACTCCAGTAATCATGGTAATGTTGAATATTTAGCTTTTTTCGTTTTCTATATTTTAAATGGACAGGTGTGATAAATAAAGATGGCAATGGCATATATCCTCCACTACTTAGGGAGAAGCAGATTAAAGCTACAAGTTAGCTAAGATGTAGAGCTCTAGTAGCTGCTCATCATGTAATGGTAAACAGACACAGCAGACTTTGGCTTTTAAACTCTAACAAAATATATGTCGATTAATTTGCTGAGACGAAGTATAGATTGAGTCAGAGATCACTTTGCCTGATGTCTCTTTTTTCATCTGTCTGTTAAATCTTTTAGACTGTAAGACTAATCACAAATATGTGCAGAAACTGAGGTCACAACGTCAAGGGTCAAGGTCAAACTGGACATAAGAGGATATTGACCATTAGAATCTCTTTAACCCTTTGCTTGACAGACGTTAAACATGGTACACTGGATCCCTTTGAAGAGTATATAATTCCTATTGAATTTGAGGTCACATGCCAGGTCAATGATGAAAATGGACAACAAAATACTAGTATATCATGTATATTGATATACACAATATGTTGAGAACCGTATGCTTGACAGACGAATGTAAAAAGTAAGGACTGAAAGTTAGGGTCATTAATTAATCTCAACAAAGGGCAAAAAAAATTTACTTATTTTTTTTTTAAAGGATTACTTTTTTGTTATTGTTCCTTGTATTTTTAGGAAAATGTTGAATCCAGTCGAGAAACACCAATGGATAGCCAAGAAAGAAAGGCATCAATTTCTAGTATCGATGTCCTTTCAAAACGTGCTATCAATAAGAGTCATATTAAAATATAAAGAGAGTCATATGTTAGTTCAAGTGAGCAAACAAGAAGAAGATATGCTGCCAAAACAAATAAATGCCTCTCTCTTCTTTTAAAGACAATATGTCCTGGAGAAAGTGATGCCTGAAAAGATGCAATGTTTTCAAAATTATAAATTTAAAGTCTTACACACATTAGGAGTCACCGGCACTTATTGAAGCTTTAAATGAGAGTTAACTAAAAGCTGAGACACCAATAGTTCGGCGTCAAATATGATCTATCCTTACCACCCAGACCAGTCTTCAAGACGTTAATACCATGAGTCACTTCTCTGAGCGGCACTGAATTTGCAATCAAGTACAAAATTTGATCAAAAACTTTAAATTTAGGATTTCAGTTAGTTATATTTATGATGATGACACAGAGACACTGGCGAAAGCTTACATTGTTATAACAATGCCATAGTGTAATGAAAGAAATTGTAGTTTATCTTCAAGATTGAGGTAAAAGATTAAATTATAAAGTACAGTAAGTCATTGATTTTATGTACTACGTATTGGTAGATATAATTGCACCATGTGATTAGGTCCCATATGGACCTATGACCTGTGAATCACTTCATTCAGATATGAAGGTTTTTGCTCTCTGCATGTTTTATATAATAGAGAGATAGCACAAATATATATATTTTTGTTAATAAATGTATATTAATGAAAGAAAAAAAACATGCTTTTTCCATTCTGTTACACTTTTTGTTAAACATTTTCAATTTAATATGTACAAAATCTGATAGACAGTATAATGAGTTCTTGAAACTTTTATGCGTCATGTTTCTTGTTGTTGGTTTGGTTTGAACATATTTTATTGTTTTTGATGTCATAACAAAAGGATTGGACACAAGTCTTTAAAAACTTAGAACGTCCTCTCCTTTATAACAATTTGTAACACAAAGTATTGTTCAAAATTAATTTACACAGGAACCAAAGGTCAGTAAGATTATCATAGGCAATGCATGTACAGAATTGAATTAATGTAGTCTTGTTGTTAATAAATCTTTTTGTTATTAGAACATTGTATGCATGTGTATTACAAATTGCATTTCTCCCTATCTTTTGATAAATATTGAATCCTCCCTGAAATGCAAACAAAATTGCATTAAAATTTATCTCAAATTGAGTGCTAAACAATACACTTGTATTAGCTGAAAACTTATTGTTCCGTTGACTATTGCATTCTCTCCATGCATTTCCCAAGTTTTCAAAACAAGCATGAAATATTGCAATTGTACTTTTAGGGATAGTGCCAAAATGTACAATTTTAAAGACATGATTGCTCTTTTGTATGAAGTTTAACCTTTATTAGTCAAATGTTTTTTAAAAGTAGATTATGCTAAATATTGACTAACAATTACATTTCTTCTCAGTACTTGATAATTAAAAAAACATAACTCAGAAATAGAGTATGTTGCATTTTTTTTGGCAAAGTGCCAAAAACATAACTTTCTCGCCATGGTTTCCCTAGACTGTGATGTTTCTCCATAAATTTTATTATACTTTTAAAGCCTAAACTATGCTTGTTTACTGTTTATAATTGCATTTATTCCATGTATTAACCAAATGTTTGAAATAAATCAGCAAAAATGCACTTGTTGGCACAATGCCAAGTAATTGAAATATGCATATACACTATGCAAACACCTTTTATCACAGAGTAATATTGATTTCAGGTTTAAAAAGATATACATATAGCTGTAGAAGAAATTATAATAATTGTTTTCTATTTACAGTAGAATTTAATTTACTGTGGGATGGAAAAGGGTCAAAAATGGGCTAACTTCACAGCTATAGACCACTGTAAGATACCGTGGTTGGTTTCTATGGCAACGGTTGATTATTTTTTGTTTTTAATTCAAATATGTGCAAGATAGGTGATACGTAGCCAGCACCTACAAAATAATTGAAATCGGTGACATCAAATGGCCAGACCTCCTCCATTTTTTTTAATTTTTACATAGAATCAGTGTTAAAGCTCTTTGTAAATCCTTAGGATTATAAGATAATAAAACTGTTTCGTCAAAATAGAAAAGTATAAGGAGTTTAAACATAATCTGCATTTATTTTTGTATTTTTTCACTAAAGCTCGTAATCTTCAATATTATTCTGCAATAAATAGCTTTCTAAATTGTTAATATAAAAAGTAAACATAAATGTAATAAATTTTGCCCTCGTCTTACCTTAATTATTATACATTAAAAATTCTGAGGTACTTTAATTAATACATATCATCGATTTTTACAATCTATACCTCTTTTTTAGATTTTAAACCACAAACCAGATTTGCTTTACATTGTTGACCTGCGAGGGTTCTGTATTAACTGCTATTAGGATTATTCCCACGGCTGAAATTTTGCTTTCAATTTCGGACAAACAGGCTTCAAAACAGTTGTTTTTGAGATTCTACATTTATCAGGTGAGAGTTCGTTTGGGTCAATAATGAATGTATTGGTGCCAAAGTAATTACACTGCCATTACACAAGTGATTGCTTCCAACGACCGCATTGTGGCTTTAAGTAACAAGATCTAATGTGTCTGACATTGACATTTCCCCCTTACATTATTTCATGGTATGTTTAATCAGATATGTGTACCTCAAATTATGCTACATTCAACACAAGACAAAGTACTACAGTTCGATAAATTTTTCTTATTAAATGATATAAAATTGCCCTATAAAATATTTCATTAGATTTCTTTCCTACAGATGGAGAGCACAAGGTTTCATTCATCCAATATTGTTGAGACGTTTCAGGTGAGTGCATTATTTCCTTTCTCTTCCTCTTTCTCTTTTTTTCACTTTTCCCCATGTGTTTTACCATATTGCACATATATCTATTTCATTTCATTAAAGATATGTAACAAGCAACAACAACATACTTTCTTTGAGATTATGGAGGGATTACGCACTTATATAGAGGTAATTAATTCTTTATATTCTTGTTTACTACTCTTTTTGCCTTGTACAGTAACTATTAAAGATAAAGTATCTGGTCATTTCTATTCTGCGAAAACAAGTATATTGCTTTTAACTTCATTGCTCTAGATTATAGCTTGATATTAAAAGGGAAACTTTTTTTTTCTAGGAAATACTTCTATCAAAACATATGTCAGTCGGAGATACTGACACAGTAAATGTTCAAGAACTTCTCTACCGGGACTTTTGTGAACTTTTTCGTCATTTAAAGGTATCAGATATAAATAAATAATTCCAATAATTAATGATATTTTTATGTTGCTATTAAGTTTAAAGCTTGATAGCAAATTCATAATCCAAAGAATGATCCAATGTCATATTCCAGTACAATATAATGATCTCGTATTTATAGTTTTCCTTGAAAATCAATCTATACATTTTCAACGCACTTGCAAATTGGAGGTATAATATAAAACCATATTATATATGGAAGGAAATGTTTATTTTTTGTTTTAAGCAAGTAATAATTTACCATTAAGGTCTTTCCATCCTCACAATTTAAATGGTTTAAAATACATCAATTGAATTTATTTTCAGTAAATAAAGTTTGAATTTACCAAATATTGCCAAATTGTATAGGCCATATTATTTAAGATGGGAGAGTTAAATAAACAGAAGCAGATGTGAACATAAAAAATCGTACAATTTTTGTAAACAGTATCATAAATATTATGTACATGTGTAAATACTGATTCAAATGCATAATTCTGATCCTGAAAGTTCCTAAATACTAGTACTTGCTACTTATAATTTATGTTTGAATTGTGAATATCAGAGAAACAATTTTACATTAGAATGTACAATAAAGAAAAAAATACCTGAATGAAGATACCTGAGCAGGAGTTATTGTACTTGTCAACATTTTAAAAAGATTGAATAAATGATTAGATAAGGAAAATATGTATTTTAAATTTGTTTACTTAACAATATTTATCATAACCCAATGGAAAATCATTCTTTCAATTATATTATCCTATTGGGTATGAATTAAATTTAATAACTGTTTTTGCAAAAACCTATGGCATCATTGGAGGGTGGAATTACCTTAAATAAAGACCCTTACTCCAATTACAGAAAAAAATACAAAACTTGTACCATTTTCAATTGTAAATATTCCTTTCATGATGTTTTTATCAAAGAAAATTCCAATATTATTTCGAACAAAACGTATTGATATTATTAATGCTGGCTTGAAAATCGTCCTGTAATACAGTAAAATTCTTTTATGTCGTCATTTAGAAAAATGCAATGGGATAGCTTATTTTTAAATAGTTTTATGTATTTAAAATGTGAATTTTTAAACTCAAACCTTAATATTGTATTACTACTCCAGATTTAAAAAATAACAGAAAATAAGAAATATTTGATTTTTAAAATTCAATGTTTTTAAAATTGCAATTCATAGTATATCTTATTTTGGGAAGAAGGTCAAACGCAAATGTCAAGGTAATTACATGATAAAAAAAGGTTTTCCATGTACCCTATGAAGAGTGTAGTCACAATAAATGCTTAGGTGAAATGAGAAGACCCAAATAGAAAATATACTCAAGACTAAATTTATCAAAAACTGGTTTATTTTCAAGATCAAGGATATGAAGTAAAACATCTTGGTTCCCAAAATAGAAACACTGGTTCTGTTTTGATACTTGATACCGCCTTCAGATGTAGAGTGTACAGGAATATTCGCAATGACGATGTACACTTTATTCTCTTTTGTTTTTAGATCTAACGTGTAAGAGAGTTTTCAGTGAAAAAATGTTTACGTAACACACAGAACGTTAGAGAAAATTGGCAGCTACAATCGGTCACAGTGATTGAGACCAAATAAACTGACGTCCTGTTTTGCAGTATAACCAGTTATATGTTCTGGCACGAAAAAGATCCTTAACTGCTCAATGGCACAGTGTCGTGTATACACATATGTAACAAGAGTAGATATGAATTACCCAATATCCAAAGATATTCGACTTTTAGATTTAACACGCAATACAGTTAAGGTTTGCAATGGAAATATCGACTAAATTTTGTATTTAAAAATGTATTCGTAATCGGGATGGCGATTATTTTTTGTACGTTATTTATATCGGATAATTGTAATTATGATTAATAACTACATATCGAGGACGATTATATTTTTATATTTAGACTAGTCACGTGATGCGGCAGTCACGCGATTTTAGCACACTGACTTAAAGTATTGATGTTACATATAAATATCACTAGTGCAAGGGCATAACCAAGTTAAATTTCCAAGTTTAGTATATAAATATTTTCAACACGCATTGTCGTTTCTAAAAAATGCTGCGATCCTGTCTAAATTCTGCAATTTCATTGTTAAAATTATACTTTTATGACCAAATGTTATATTTTATAGAAATGTGTTTATGTTATATGTTATGTCTATATGTCTATATGTTATATAGAAATATTGATATTTCATTGTTAAAATTATACTTTTATGACCGAATGTTATATTTTATAGAAATATGTTTATGCTATATGTTTTGTCTATATGTCTATTCGTTATATAGAAATATTAATATAATTAAATTGTTTTTAAGATTTCATCAGGATCGCAGCTCTTTTCAGATACCTTAATAGTTCTATAGTTGAAATTTAAAAGCTTACTTTGATCCATAGAGTATATGCCCTTGCACTAGATCGATTCATTAAGACCCCCCACATAACCCTCCGATGAATTCGCATACAAATATACGGCAGTGTCAATTAAATACGTAATGTACAGAAAATATATTGATAAAATAGTAAAGAAGACATTAAATTCAAGTTATTGACCCATTGAATATCTGTAAATAATATTTTATTTAATTAGAGAATACATATTTTGTTGATAACGTATTACTTGATCTCTCTCTCAATGCATACAAATTACGTCACGTTGTAAGAAATGACGTCAAATTGACAAGTGTATTGCGGTCAGTGACTTGTTTATAACTTATTATGTCGGATTTAACTAACGACAAAATAACACTCTGTAGTAAGTTTTTATGTAGTTTGATAATTTCTCACAGGTTAAATTAGCAGATGAACTCCTTTTGTGGTATTTTAAAGAATTGTTGTATGACGTATATTGTATATGATGTCATAGTAAAGTTTTCCCGTACATATTAGACTCCGCCTCCTTTTTGTAACCTTAACTGTGCTGCGCAGTCTTTAATAAAAAATACTGCACTATCTTGTTTTGGAACTGGTGTGAATTTCATGAATCCGTAGCATTACTGCCACCAGTCTCCTAGCACACAGTGCACATACCCTGCAAGACCAGTTAGTCTTGGTTTACACACGTGGAATGAGATTGTCAAACGCATCTAGCGAGCTTGAAAAAACACGTTTGTTTTGCCGAGAAGTTATGATAGCGGGCCCGGTGTTGCACAACCATTCTGGATAAAGAATTCGACTTTTCAATTTACTTGAATTTTCAACACGAAAATATAAGCCTAGTTAATCACCGTAGCTTGGCATTTGGCGGGAAATGACGCTTTACTTGCGTAGAAACATTGTTAATTTTTTTCTTCACAAAATAAACATTAAACTATATATTTGATTACATGCCAGAAAATTTATTTAGCAACATTTTTACTTACTTAGATCATACGGATACGAATTCTGATTGATAAATATTATGCAATCCCTGTGGAACTATATTTTGTTCTAACAATTGTTCTAACTTTTGCGTTCACAACAAAGTGTGTTTAAAATAGGTGAACCGGGTCAGGAAAATTCGAAACTGAAAACGTTCTTTTGGTTTTTTTTTTGAAAATTACTGAAATATACTAATGGATGTATCACGTAATTTAATTCTATATTTGATTATATGCTGAGCTTGAACATGAGCTTGGTATTCAATTTAGAAATCTCCAGCCAGGTTTGGGTACCGACAATATTTAAATCAAACACTCTCACAACACAATACACACAAGACACATATACTTTACATTTTAGAACAAGCATCAACAACACATATATTATATGCTTGTTCGCTGTCGGAATTATTTAATAAAAGTAAAATATAAAATACGTTTACACAATAATTATAATTAAGGTATACAGTTAGCTTACCAGGAATCCAGTTAAATATAAATTCAAGTAAATCTTTGAAGAATATGAGGGATGATTCACGAGCCACGATTGGTATAAAATTTTAACAAAGGAAAATAAATGCTGCTCAAGTAGCGATTCCGATTGTTATATCATATCATAGCAAATACGCTCAGGGGAGCATTGTTGACCATGAGCCTTTTGTTAAGTTGCAGTAACACATTTCAGGGTCAGTATGTATAAGTCTTCTGCTATACATATCTTACGCCATCCATTAGTTAATAATGTTGGAAAGTACTGAAGTAAATGAACCATTTGATTTTTTCTGAAAATTGCATGAAACAAATTCATTACAATTTTGTAGTTGTAAAGATTTATATATCTAAAATAGATAAAAATAAATCATTTATATAAATATTTAGATTGACCATGAAGAAATCGGAAAGGATTACATGGATAAGTTGAAGGTACTTGACTTTACTATATATTTCAATCGTAAGTAAGCATGTACATGTATATAGATTTGCAGAAGAACCTGAAATCCTTTTTTTATACATGTACAAAATCTTAGGTTAATTATTTGTTCCATCTTAGAGTTTGGCAGAGAGTCGCCTGAGGGCCCTGGACAAAAGACTGACCATGTTCTGCTCAAGTACTCAGGTGATGTTTTGCATTGCTGCTTAAAAGTTCTAATGTAGTATGACAATAATGCATATGTATAGGTATAAAAGATATTGGTAAAATTTTGTAAGATTCATCCACTTAACATATACAAAATTCTTATCTTGCATAAATTCAAAACAGTCAATATGCCTTGTGTATTTCATAGATATCTGAAGAGCAAATCATTGATGCTTGTATGTCAGTAAGTATTTCTGTAGAGATTACTTTAAGATATTAGATTTTTTTTATGAATAGCCTCGTTTCGAGTCAATCTTAAGCAACGTCCTTATTCGTCGTTTAGTTATGCCATGTCAAAAATGTCCAGCAAGTGAACTTACGGTTTTACACCGAGTCATAACTATTACAGAACGGATTTATTTTTACGGCTTTTAAGTACCAAATCTAAAGAAAACCTGCAACATATGGGTATAAGCCGCAGCATAAGTAAGAAAATTATTTTTATCTTGGTCTTTGAGCTTACAGAAGAACTTCGCCTTCGCCGTTCGTTCACTTAAACATAAAGCCTTATACATTTCGTAGTCAGAATTTCAAAAATAAAAATACAGATCTCATAGTTTATAAATTAAAATAAAGAGATTTTATATTTCTAGTTGAAATACATTTTATTGACGGGTGTTTTTGTGATGAAGCATCACCTGGTTTAACCCAAAATCATTCACCTGACGAAGAAAAGTAAAGTACTTTGTGCTTCAAGTACATGTAAGGTGCAGAACGATGACAGAAGGGGACAAGGAAAAATGTTTTAGACACTGTAAATACTTTGACAGATTGGATTGACATTAATTATGACACTTCATAAAAAATTCTGTTGCTTGAGCTTAGGGTTTACAGAATGATCTAATAGACGCGTACTAGGGACATTTTGTAGCAAATCAGCAGTAAATACTATATATACTATCTATATTTTAACTACTTACTTTTGAAGGAGCAAGTATTTAACTAGTATGCACTGGAAAGGGATTGAGATTTAAGATAGGGTGTCTTTAACAAGACATTTTTCACTCTTGGACGTTGAAGTTGTTGAACGAGTTTAATAATAACAAATTATAAGCACTCAAGATTATCGTGTACGTCTCTAAATTGTAATGCTCAACATATAATTAAAATGTTGAAAGGTCAGCTTGAAACTCACATTTTGATAATATATTACATCATAAGTAGGTAGTGTCATATCCAGTCTAGGTAGGAGTCCTTCGATACAATCAACATACTAACTTTTGGATGTTAAACAGTTAAAACTAAAACAAACCTCAAATTTTCCTTAAAATGATAATATGCAAAGTACTCTATGTATGGATTGTTTTCTGTAGGTCAACCTTCCTTAAAATGAAGAGAGCACTCTTTGTGGTTTCTCATGGCTCGTAATTTTCTCTTCTTGCATGTAAGAGGTCCAGTTAACTTTCTTTTGATGCAGATGCTTTCTCTTGGTGGGAAATATGTAAAATCTTATTTCTCTCATGTAACCATAACTTCCCACTATTCTTTCATCAGAATTGCACCTCTTCGCATAACAAAAATAGGATTTTTATCAAATAACATTGGGTAACTACGGTGAACAATTTTAACCGGAAGTACCCCTGCTGAGCATTTTTTGTTTATCATGTGATCGGTGCATCTAAACGCAAATAAAAACGGACGTTTCGAATGACACAAAACGTGACTATTAAGCAATGTGTTTCCTACGTTATGTTTTGATTTTAAAAATTGTTTTATGATATTTTAAGTTGGGAATACAAATGAAGAATGAAATGATTAAAAATGAGGAATAAAAGATATAATTTCTTAAAACACATGATTGCAATTAAAGTTAATCCAGAATGATAAAGGGGCTACTCGGAAAATTACGTTTTCTCCATCAAGGAAAGAAATTATGAAAAAATCATTTTCATTCTATCCGGAACAAATAAAAAATGTGCAAATTTTCTCACTCACAAGATAAAGAAATAATCCCAAGTAAAAATTAAAGCACACATTGTGAATCGACTTCGAGCAGAATCGTTACTTTTTTAGAGCTGTTCTTTGAAAATAGAAATAAAATGATTGTTATTACTAACCCGTATAAAGTTATATGACATTTCTTACACAAGTTTTCTTATCATCAAGCGACCGCTTTTTGCACCGTGGTTGGACGTTATTTCTTATTATTTGAAAAGTGCAATTTTAAATGCAACCTTACAGTTCAATATGTTTTTGCTAAGTCTATAAAATGTTTTAAGTTTTCTTGCTTTTGAAAGAGATTTTGAGGATACTTTATATTCATACAATTGACACAAATAACATATCTTAATTACATTTCAATTAAAGAAAATTGAAAAATGACCAGTATAATTTTTCTGTATGGGAGATAAGAAAATTTGTTTGTGGTATAATAATAATTCTTCCTATTATTCAAACGTATATGATTTTTACACTGTATACGTAGTTAAATGTGTTGAAAGTGAAAACAAATCAGTTCTCGTTTATTAACACTAGTAATTAAGTATAGAACTGTTTTTTTAAATATGAGGACATACTAATATTTGCTTTTTCTTCTTCCATTGTGCTTTTAAATAGGACCAAGAAAGGGTCGATATGAAAGAGTTTCTTGTCTTTGCCAACAATATTCTCCAAGGCGTCATATCTGTAAGTTGCGATGAATACATGTATGTACTGAGACTTAATTGAATAAAAAATAATTCAGTAAATGAAATCAAGATCATATAATAAAAGATTTTGCAATTGAGGCAAATCTTTTTATTAACCAAATGACGTACCTCAACATACAAGGGGTAATCAAAAAGTTCGTGGACTGAGGCTATAAAATTAGTACTATGCAGTCTGTGCTTCCAAAATTTTTATGGAACATTAAACGACACAAAATAGAGAAATGTGGAAAATTTTATCCTGATACGTTCATTATCTGCCAAATTATTATAAAATGAAAACGACATTACATGATCATCCGGCGCTGTCATCGTTTATTTTCATGAGGTCCGATAACGTAATTGTTTTTTCAATGTCTTCTTCTTCTACCTCATACACTTTTTGATGAGATTCCCTGGAGTCGATTATGGACTTAAACCCGACTTGTTTTTATGACTTTACAATGTCATAAAAGTGGCCTTCAATGAATATAATATTCCAGATGGATTTATACACTGGGAGAGATCCGCGCTTGATTGTGCCGGCATATTTTGCTTTTAGGAGTTCAATATCTACAACACATGATCAACGTCATTTTAGACATGATTGATTTTCACACCTTGACTGCAAATCAACATGAACTGTGTATCCCTTTACTCTCTGAATCTATTTTGACATTAAAAGACAAGTACTCTGGATGCATATTATTTCACTGTAGCGATTTTCAACATATTTTAGGTCGATACTATTTTTTTCAGGGGCAAAAACTTTATATAATGTTGGAAACGGAAACCTCTCCCCCTTTTGACGTCCTTTTCAAGGCCTTATTTGTTTGCACATACCATGTAAAAGTTACGATAAAATTTCATAGAACTTACAGAATGAAGTGATTTGAACATATTTTATTGCACAAAATATATACAATGGGATTGGGCACAAGTTCTAAAAACTTAAATCGCCCTCTCCCTCAAAATGAAGTGAAAATGTCATATAACAATTGTGTCCCGACACATACATGAATTAACAGGATTTTTGTATGTCAAATAATCATATCAAAGGAGTTTTACTAAGGTACACATTGGTCGAAAAAACGTCGTTTTCGAGGTTGCGCCGCCTGGACATATCATTGCTTACAAAAAATTACTTATTTATTAAAAAATAAAATTCATGATTTGTGGTTTATTCTTTGGATAGAAAAGATGATGCTTACTAGATATTTCAAAATTTATTGATGTACCTTGAACGGTTTTAATTTTATGGCACTAGTCCACGAACTTTTTGATAACCCCTCGTATGTTCATGAAAATCAGCTAATTAGTTCTAAAACGTCAAACATTCTGTGATTAAATATGTGGTTACCAGTTTTTTTTTAGCATGGATTTAAATATTGTAACAAAATACGAAATCCGATAAATTTCCCTTTGAAGTGTATAAACCATAAATGGTGTATTCTCAGATAGAGACACGGCATTGCTCACAAACTTTTTAGTTAGGCAAATTATACCTGAAAGCGAATTACAAAAATAATCTGAATGTGGTTCACTTATCAAAGACTGGAAGAAATATACAAATTTAACAGGAATTCTTCTCATATTAATTGTATTTAAAAATTAATTAAATTTTACAGTTTTGAAAAGACAATATCACTGCTCAAGAATAAATTTGGCAGGTGTAATTAAGCAATAATTCTGCAGGTAATGTTTATTGTCTTTTTGCATTGACATCAAATGCAAAATTATACAAATACAGGTTACATGTACAATCAGGCGATGCCTATGAAAGAATAATTGTTTTCCTTTTTGACAATATCAAAAAGCATCTAAAAGAAGATATGTCAAAATCAGATATTAAATTGAAATAGACATTGGCCACCCCGATTTTCCTCTATTTTTCGTAAAATCGTAGAGATTGAGTCTATTTTTATGCCCTTGTTTATTCTCATTTACACATTTGGTGTAAAGTCACGATAGATACAAAATGATACGAAATTAAAAGACGAAAATAACGTTTTACTGACTTTCTTGCTCAAATCTCTCCTTGTACTGAAAGCTTTAAAAGTCTGAAAATACCCGGGTATTTTGTTCGAAAGTCACTTTTCTTTGAAGTATATTTAAACGGAAGCTCATGATAATAAATTTTCGTCTTTTCAGATAATTTGTCTTAGTCTTTATTGTTTAGTTTTATTCAAATTAATTACATTGTTCGTAGAAAATTTAAGAAGCAGAAAAAGAGATAAATTCTACGCGTCGCAGATTCGCTAAAATTTAGTCCCTGCTATATTTCAAACCCAGAGTACCATTTCTGTTTAAGATTTATAATTATGAGAACTTCATTAGATTTTATAACCATCAATTGTACATCCTTAATACATGAGACATATTAGCAAAGATAGTTTAAATATGACATTTTGTCAGAAACAAGGTAAAAATCTCTCTTTCATTTATTATTATAAATTTATTTTGTGACCTTAGGCGACACCTGGAGATCATTCTCTCATGGGCATTATGGAACACCTGAAAACCCATCGGATGACATTTGATGTAAGCGAGTTTTACTTTTAGGATAGCTTTGTACATGAATAAATTTAATATAAGCTCAACTAAGTTTTTCCAGTTTTAGCTATATTTCATCATGCAAACTTTCCTTTGAAAAAAAAAAAAAATAAGCAACTATGTGGATGTTATAACACATTCTCGTAAGACGTGTGCCTTATGCTACGTTCCCACTGTCGTGCGGTCAGTTAAGCCCGTGTCACACTGTCACGATTCATAGGTACGATTTACTACGAATTCAAAAATCGCAGCAAATCGGGATTTATCGCAGAAGTACTCGCAGGATATCTTCCTTAATCGTGTTGGATCGCAGCAAATCGCCATACTTGGCGATTGTTTTGAGCATGTTCAAAACAATCGTGGACACAGCACGATTTTTAATTATTCGTACACAATCGCACAGCATTCGTACTGCACTCGTACTCATAATCGTAGTAAATCTTCAAAGTTCGTGCGACATTCGCGGAACTTCGTGGTACTCGTGACAATACGAGAGTCCTACGAGTTATTTCGAGTGTCTTTCGAGTTTGTGCGAGTGTCTCTCGAGTTACTGCGAGTGTCCTACGAGATACTGCCAGTGTTCCTCGAATTGATAAGAACATAGTACGACTTTCCAAAGAAAGGACGATTGATGGCAAGTGCTGTACGAAAACTGTGCGATTGAACTAAGATTTGATACGATGTAGGCAGACGGTGTCTGATGTTAACACTGTCGAAATCAAAATACTGCCTAAAATAAAAGGAAAGAAGCTTAGAAAAAGGAAATAAACTGAAAATACATGTGTAACAGAAACTATAAACAGCGTGTACAATAAACATACGAAGAGATTGAACATAATCAAAAGTTCCACACTGTAGTTTTTACTATGATCAAATAACATAACTATGATGTTTAATGATTTCAGACAAATCTCCCTTTACTCTATATATGCATTCAATTACATGTATAATCGTAAGAAATGGCCATTAGTCGTGGGAATATCGTGTTTGTAACGTGGCATATCGCAGTACTTCGTACGAGTATCGTATGTAACCGGGTTTAATCCTTCATAATCGTAGAAATATCGTAACCAGTTCGTAACGCTGTCGCCTTAGTTCGTACTTAAATAGTACAAACCTCGTTCTTTGTCGCACAGACATCGCAGACACACCATTCTAGCAGCAAAATATTCTACACGCTATAGAAAAATCGCAAGGCAAACCTGGCGATGAACTGCGATTTTCAACTTTTATTAATTCGTGGGTAATCGTAGCATAAATCGTGATAGTGTGACACGACCTTAACGCACGTCACGATAGATCAATCGTAGTTGATCGCGGAGTTTTTATTGAATTTTAATCCAAGATACGAAGAGATGCGTATAGGTGCGTTTTCATACGTTTCGTTACGCTTTTATGCGCTATGCCCGCGATAGATAAATTTCATGTGATGCGATCTCTGACTACCGTTCGGATAAGATGAATTACGTTTCAATAGGATTATCAAGATTTAGTCGAAAAAGGACCTCGATCTGTCACGAATATCACGATCCGAGTTCTCGATTAGAAAGGATCTCCTACGTTTTAATACGTACTCATACGATATAATACGTTCATTGCGCTCTCTTGCGCTAATGTACGATAGAATAACACGTTCATTGCAATGTCTTTCACGATCAGGATCAAGATAGAACACGCTTTGAGCTACGATTGTACCCCGACAGACATTTAAAAATCTGGCTAAACTGAGTCCATTATATTTTATCTCTTGAAATTAAATAAAACATAAACATACAATCAATTGTAATGGCAGAAGTAAAGGTTGATGACAACTTCATAAACGTGGTGTTTGTAGTGTAACTATGGTCATATGTTATTGCTGTCAAAGTAAAGTAAAAGAGCAGTATAACTATCTCTTATCTTTTTTTTCACTGATGTTGCCTCTGATCGAAGGGGTTCAAGTTCAAAAGAAGATAGGAACTTCCCTCTTTCTATTTTGTACCTGTTTTATGTGGCATCTTTAAAATATTTTTCCAAAACTCATACATTTTTTTTTCAATCGGGAAAGAAACGCGTTCAATTTTCCCGTTATTTTTGCAAGCTTAAGTACTCGTAATATAGCGTGATTGTCCGCAACAAACCGTTAACACCCGTGTCTAATTGCGTTTACTCTCATATGTCCGTATCAAATCGTTTTTGAGCGGGAAAGAACCGTGTCAGCACGTGAGCAGATGGCCATGCAAAGCGTCACAGATAGTGACAGAACGTGAGATATCGCAACGAATCGCCATTCAGCGGGATGTCTGTCCTTTCCGAGATCGATCCCGATGATCACGATATACAAGCCAGATTAGTTACGTTTATATACGATGCAGCTGAGGTTAGTTACGATGTAATGCGATTTGCTGAGATGATAACGATTAAAATCTAATCGTGTTAATCGTAGAAAAATTTTTGACAGTCAAAAAAAATTTCACGATCAACACGATAGTCACGAGAGAACACAAGATTTGTTTCGGTTTGATACGAGAACTACGATTTGTCCACGTTCGAGTCCCCGATCTCAATCGTGGCGCCAATCGTGATAGTGGGAACATAGCATTAGAATGCCAATAAAATATGAGGTTTAAAAATATGCAAACCAATAGCATTGGCAATTAACTGAGAAATTTTCTAGAATCATAGAGGAATGTTAACTCAGTTCATTCAGACTTTAAGACAAGAAAAATGTATAAATGTGCAAGACAAATATTTCTTAAGCAATTTTATTTTTCAAGTATCAAAAGGAAGTTTACAAGGTTGAGAAAATTAATAAAAGGTGTTTTGGAAAGATGATTATACGATGTGTCGGTCACGAAGGAACAAAGGGAAAAGAAGGGCTTCGTAGGCTGTTTCAAGCCTGCATCGACTTTTTACAGAAAGAGAATACAAATGTGTGGGAAAATGCCTCTTTCACTATCTATGATGATGACTCAAACATGTACAAGATCGCAAGTGGAAACATGAGATATCAATTCATCTGTCGAATGAAAAACGGAGAGCCATTCATAAAAGAGAAAACTGTAAGACATTCGCATTCGCAAGACTCAGCTCAACAAGACAAAAATTGTAAGATTATGTGATGTTTACAATATAATCGCGTAATTCTTTAAACTTTTGTGTGTTTAAAGTAAATTTATTTCACATTGCTACTTAAGGGCCGTCCAGTAAAATAGGGGATAATTTGCATAGAACACACACAAAAAAAAATCATAACTGCTTTTTGAAAATTTCACTGTTCTTCAATATATGTTTCATTATTATACATGTACTTAGAAACACTTAAATGGATAAATTCGTAAATAAACAAAATATAATATTTTGTTAGGTCACCTGAGTAACTCAGGTGACCTATTGCTATCTGTTTTCGTCCGTCGTCGTGCGTCGTGTGTCGTGCGTCGTGTGTCGTGTGTTAACATTTGAACATTTTTAGCTTCTTCTCTGAAACCACTGAACCAATTTCAACCAAATGTGGTATACAGCATCTATGGGTGAAGATTGTGAATTTAATGGTCCCTGACCCCCTGGGGCCTGAGGGGTGGGGCCAAAACCACTAAAACTTTTGCAATCTTTAAAAAGCTTCTTCTTTACTCCTGGACATCATGCAGGCAAACTGCTAGCATGAATGTAATGAGCATTGAGTCCTCTACCAAAATTGTGAAATTCATGGCCCCAGAGTCAGGGTTCTAGTGCTAGGGCGGGGCTATATAGATTCTATAGTGAAAATGCAGTATTTCTTTGAAAATCTTCTTCACTGCTCCTGGGTATTAAATAAACCATCTAAGTACATAGTTATGATAAGCAAGAGTTCCTCTTCCAGATTTGTGAATTTCATGGCCCCAGGGTCAGGGGTTCTGGTGTTAGGGCTGGGCTCTATAGATTATATAGTGAAAATGCATTTTTTCTTTCAAAATCTTCTTCTCTGCTTCAGGGTATTAAATAAACTAACTAAGTACATAGTTATAATGAGCAAGAGTGCCTCTTTTAGATTTGTGAATTTTATGGCCCTTAGGTCAGGGGTTCTGGTGTTAGGGCTGGGCTCTATAGATTATATAGCGAAAATTCATTAATTTTTTGAAAATTTTCTTCTCTGCTTCTGGGTATTAAATAAACTAACTAAGTACATAGTTATGATGAGCAAGAGTGCCTCTTCCAGATTTGTGAATTTTAGGGCCCTTGGGTCAGGGGTTCTGGTGTTAGGGCTGGGCTCTATAGATTATATAGTGAAAATGCATTTATTTTTTGAAAATCGTCTTCTCTGCTTCTGGGTATTAAATAAACTAACTAAGTACATAGTTATGATGAGCAAGAGTGCCTCTTCCAGATTTGTGAATTTTAGGGCCCTTGGGTCAGGGGTTCTGGTGTTAGGGCTGGGCTCTATAGATTATATAGTGAAAATGCATTTATTTTTTGAAAATCTTCTTCTCTGCTTCTGGGTATTAAATAAACTAAATAAGCACATAGTTATGATGAGCAAGAATGTCTTTTCCAAAATTGTGAATTTTATGCCAATGATCCAAGTATATATATTTATAATGAAGAAAGGTGCATCTAGCAAAATGGTTATTTTTTATGCCCTGAAAGGGGGAGGGGGTTACATAATCTGAAAATAAATTAATGCTTTGAAACCTGCTCTTTGGTATTAATCAACCAATTTATGATAAAATTTACAAAATTTTGAAATATGTGGCCCGATGGTCAGTGGTTCTTTTGGGGTGAGGTGCACAACTGGTTATAAAGTGGAAGAACATTTTCTCTTCGTAACTCTGATCTACCTCTGGGTATTGAGTAAGTAGAGTATTTTTAATCATTAATTATGATAAGCAATGGTGCCTCTTTCAAAATTGTGAATTGTGAATTTCATAGCCTCTGGTTTAAAAATCGGACCAAATTTAATGTTTGAAAGTTGTTACACAATACTCAGGTGACCTATAAGGCCCGTGGGCCTCTTGTAAATAAATGTGTTATATCGCCTTACGGCGTAGGATGAAAACGTTAAATGTCTATGACAGCATCAAGCTTCTTCTTTGTTTAAGATAAAAAGCTTGATAAGCTCGGTTAAAATATAGGGATGTAAATGCTATAGTAAATCGTTATACGTCTATAAACATTGGATGTATCAGTCTGACACACACATGTGATTTACTGAAGATTTTAGTAAGTTAGGTACAGTACTCTTAATATCATCCTGTAAAATAAGCAATCACACATGTACATTGACAGTCTACAGTGATCATGATAGTGTTTTCTTTAAGACAAAATCTGTTTGTTATTATGTTTTATTCTACATGAGGACCCGATCAAAAAGCTTCTGCTTAACATTATCCTATTTCACTTGTATATTAAAAGTGTAATGGTTTAAAAAGAAATGAAATCATTTAAAGCCTCTAAGGGCGTCATTATTACATCTAAATGAAACTGTTCTGCTCTCTGGTGCACCGTATCTTCAGAAAAGTCATCTTTTTGCGTGTGTTGTTTTAATTTACCCATTTTAAATGCTCGAAAACTTTCCAGTTGAGTTCCCATACATACATATACATTTGTACAATTCCCATTTAACTTAAACTCATGCTCATTAAAAAGATATCGAAACTATATTGGTTCTCTCGGAATATTTTGAGGCATATTTCTTATAGGCGCCCTTAACCTAGCTGTGTGAGAATTGAATGTTTGTGTGTTGCGAGGAGGGACAGGGATGAGGTCGGTTGTTTACTTCATATGTTGATCATTGTATTACTATGAACAAGCAGAAATACTCCATTTTATTAATTGGAGAGAGAATGTGAGTTTTCAAAACAGTATGAATAATAAAATGTCAATAAACCCCCTCCCTGATATAAAATTACACCTCTCAGTCCAAATTAATGGCTTTTATTAAGATTCATTGCATTTGTCAATCAAAAAGGAAAAGCAAATTGGGCAACAAATACCCCTCCATCAACAACAACAACCCTGTCTCCTCTACCAAGTTTTATTTGCAACACCTATGAATTGAATATTTAATTATTTAAAAATAAAGCTAATGAAATCAATATATTATAATGACCGGTCCATTTTTAGAATTACCCTCTATTTTTTTCCTTTGTTTTATTTTCTTCTCGTTTCTTTATTTCGTCCACTACTCAATTGAAAATTATACTCAATAAATGTGTGTCATTATATTTTGCTTGTTTGTCCTTTGCTGAAAACGCAAAATGTAATTTTTCAAAAATCATTTTATTACATTTTGCGCTTTAACATTTTGCGTTGATCTTGCGTTGACGCAGAATGTAATAATGCAAAATGTAATAACGCAAAATGTAGTAATCTTAATAATGTTTTGTTACATTTTGCTTTATAACATTCTGCGTTAATTTCGACACCAAATATGGTAACGCAAAATGCAATTATCCCGGTTTATTATATTTCGCGTTGTACATGTTGTAACAGGGCTAACTATCAGACAAACTAAATGTGGGAGCTGGTGCAGAGATGTCAGCGCAGAAATGATATATACACAGACGTAATTTTACTTTGATTATGTACTCACAACTTGTAGTAAAATATAGATTTTGATAAAGTCTACGAGGGTTGTTCGAAAAGTTCGTAGACTAATGCCATAAAATTAAAACCGCTTATGATACATCGATGAATTTTTCAAAGTTTAATTTGCATAACCTTTTTTATTTATCTAATAAATTATACATCGTTAGTTGTGTTTTTTTTTTTTATAACTTGCTGGTGTATTTGAAAGCAATTGTACGTCTAGGCGGCGCCACCTCGAATATTACATTTTTCTGCCTTAGTGTGACTGAGAAGAAAACTTTTTTTATAAGAGCATTTGTCATACAAAAATCTCGTTAATTCACGCATGTGGTATGACGCGTTTGTAACGTTAAATTTGCAATTTTACTACATTCTGTAAGTTCTTTAATATTTTATCCTTAATTTAATATTAAATGCCCAAACAATTAAAGGCTTATAATGACGTCAGAAAGAAACTGGTTTCTTTTTCCAATATTCTATAAAGTTTCAACCCTTGTTAAACTGGCATAGATCTAGGAAATATTTAAATGGGCTACTGAAAAAAAAATGCACTCAGCACTCAGCATAATTATTTTTAAATGTCGAAATAGATAAGAGAGACGAAAGATGTTTATGTTCATGTCGATTTGTAGTAAGAGTGTTCAAAGTCTGTCTTGTCGAAAAGTGAGGTTGATCATGTGTGAAAGAAGTTGAGGTCCGACAAGCAAAATGCTGTTAGTATCATGTTAGGATCTTTCAATATGCATTGAAATCAGCTATTCATGACATTGTAAATCAGATAAACAAAACCGTTTTAAATCTTTTATTTACTCCAAGGAATCTCATTAATATATGTTTATGAGGTAGAAAATGCGGACACCGAGACACAATGAAGTCATGAAGCTTATTAGCGACAGCTCCAGGTGATCATATTATGCCTTCTTTATTTTAGCATATTTTGATATATATTCAGGATAAACAAGCTACGTTTTTCTACATTTCTTTCACTTTAGTTGTTTGATGTTCCTTAAAATTTTTGTAAACATAGAATACATAGTATCAATTTTATTGCATCAGTCCACTAAGTTTTCGAACAACTCTAGTATACTGAATAAAATATTGCTTGGCTTAGCCTTTTCAATTATATTGATTGATTGACTGTATTTTGTTTTACATCCCATTTGAGAATATACAGACGTCACCATATAGCACCAAAGGGCTTCAAATAGAAGCCTTTACCTGACACTCAAGTCCACTGAGCAGTGAGGAATCTTAAAGTCTGCCATAACACGCGTAGAGGGCTAGGGTTTAAAGAGTCTCATCCAAAGGACCTGTAACTTTCACTTCAAAGTGTTGAGCGCACGGCGAAGGAACAGTTTAAACCCACTTTTAAAAAGATCGATTTAGCTCAGTCGCAACCGAGATTCGAACTCACGACTTTCCGTCATTTCTACTGAAGACATGATTTAAAGTTTCAGTTAGAGTGTTAAAGATCTGTTAAAAATTATATCAATGGTCTTATTTTCCATTTTGAGCATGTGTGCTTATTTGATGAAAACCTTACTTTTTCGGCAATACA